AGAGAGAGAGAGGGGAGGTGTGTGTGCGGCTAAGCGAAGGGTTAATAGCGCCGGGCAGCACTGTGGGCTGAAGCGTGAAAAGGTTCGGCCCTGCTTCAGTGGGCAGAGGCCAGCTGGGTGATTTAAAAAGGAGCCGAGTGACAGAAGAGCGCTGGTGTGCAGCTGTGGCCGGCAGCTAACGAACTCTCACACATCACACGCCGCGACATTCTATCTATACATCCATCAATCCATCTAACAGACTCCATTCTCCCCGTCCCCGCTGCCTCTCTTTATCCGTTTCCTCAGACCTATTAAGGCCGTCTGGCAGACGCCGGATGATTGCTGGAAATTACACATTTGTAGTAAGAGAGGAGATGCACAGAGGGAATATCCTTTAAGTGGCTCTGCATGGCCGTGTGTCTCTGCGGTTGTGTACTTTTGTGCTCATTTTCATCGCTTAATGGTGCAAAACAGGCGCCGATAGATTGAAGCGGCTCTCGAAACAGAGCGTTTTTAAACGGCTGCTGAATGCAAAGAAATGAGTCGCCGCGTTCAGCACATGCAACAAATCACCACCTCTTTTTTTGTTGTTGCAGAGAGACCGCCTCTTTTTTTTTTTTTGGAGGTCACAGCAGCAACACTTTTGTTTTCTCATCAGCCTGCAGAGATGGGAGATTTCACAGTGGGCCACTTCACGGGCTGAGCTCATGGCACTTCAGTTCACCTCCGAAAGAAAATATAAAAAAGCTGCAAACATGAACAGACTTCCACACAAACCTCCCTCCGTGTGCCTGTAGAATAAATGTATACACAAATACAGGCAGGATTTATTAAATGCTGACTGCAGTCGATGACAATTTGCATAGAGAGCAGCTAATACATTTAAAGGCGCACGCATACATCCCCTGCATGCAAAAACCCCCTCTGGCACTCGCCGCCTCGCTCCCTCTCTTTGTACTCATTGGTAAGATTATTTGCCAGCCAAGGTCTGATTTATCTCAGCATTAGACGCTCCTCGTTCTGCTCCTGGTTTTGTGGGAATGAGGTTACGCCTGCAAAGAGCGGCCGGACGCTGGCACGAAGCGTATCTGCTGCTGCATCTGTGCATCAGATAGAGTAAATTACTGGTACAAGGAGGAGGGGGAGGGAAAAAAAAAGGAACGTTTAATTTAAACAGGTACCAATTGACTCACAAGGTCAGCAGTTAACAGTGGATTTGTGTTTTAAAATAAATTACACCATAAGTGCTTGTATAATAAAGGACATGCAGGATGCTTCGAGGTCCTCGGGTGCGTAAAAGGGACCAAAAAGCTTCATCAGTGGCTTTACTCCTCTACGACAGCCCACGTTCACAATACTCACCTCGTACGTTTGCGACCTTGAAAAAAAGTTTCAGATTTTATTTAAAAGCCTGCATACCGCTGATTTTTTTCCCCCCCTGATATGTTTAAAAGCTTTGTCCTGATCATAGAGTGCTTCCACTAAAAGCTAAGAGCCATTACTTCAGTCGGATTTCTTTATTCTGCTGGAAAAAGGCGAAAACACAGAGAGAATTGCTTTATGATTTGTTGGACCTATGAATGCTTCACCATAGTTACCTTTCTACTGTGTGCACACACAAAAAAAGCCTCATTCACGTGGATCTGTTGAACGAAGGCCTCCGGCGGTGTTAACTGCGGAGGTCATCTTAGTCTGAATCTATCGTAATTCATACGATAAAAATTCCTGCCAAATTTCGCCAAACATTCTGTGGTAATCGTCTTCTCTGTGACTTAACCCTGACTGTTCCTTCTTCCTGCTCGAGAGGAACGTTCTGCTGCCTTTCAACAGGCAGACTATTGATATTATATCTCCTGATAATGTCAGTAAATTAGAATAAATCGCAGACTTACCTGAAACACAGACCCGAGGCTTCCTCAGTAATATTACCGTAATTTCCAGACTATGAGAGCACCTGAATATAAGCCACACCCACAAGCTTTAAAAAGAAAACAAGTTTCATGTCCCCGTTGTAACACAAGATATTTACACAGAAAGACTTTTAAAACTTTTAATTAAATACGTACTGGTACACAAATACCGTAAATGCGTTTTTCCGAACAGCGCCTGTAACATGGCTGGTTAAGAAAGTAATTCGTTGTCGCTTTCAATGTCAGTTTCGTCTCGAAATTCGTAAAACTTGTAAAAATCCATAAATTAGCCACGTCATTGTTCAAGCTGCAGCGCTAAAAGCGTGTCAAAAAAGAAGCGGCCTATAGTCCGGACATTACGGTACTCCCCTGCGAATAGAAATTTAAAGAGCCCCTATGATACTTTTTAGGATTTTTCTTTACCTGTATTGTGGTATTTGTGCATGTAAAAGGTTTGCAATCCTACAAAAGCCAAAGAAGTTATTCTCTCTCATGGAACAAAAAAAAAAAAACTGCCTAAACACCTCGTTTCAAGTCCAGGCTTGTCTTCCTGTACTTGTTTACATCACCACGTAACACATTTGCAAAACAGCCCTCTAGTGGCCACTTTAGACGCTCCGAAACAAGCTGCTTCCTCGTAATCCACCGTTATTAGCTGCTTCTGCTCCGATCGCCTTCGCTCAAAGATTTCAGATACATTAAAGCATGTAAACATATTCTACTAGTCCGCTAACATCAAATTTAAAACCTTTAAATGTGCACAACGTGGGCTCTTTAAAGGTTGTTTGTTGACGTCATACAGCTGGATGATACAAAAGGACAAAAAAGCTCTTTTAACTTCCTTTTAACATCAAGGTCGGTTGAATGTGAGACGAGTTCTCAAACATTTATTCCAACTTCTTTGTATTTTGTCATCATTTTAAAGGCATACATCTCATTTATGGCTGCAGCAATAGAGCAGTCTACCTTGTTTTGTATTTCCAAAAATAATATTTTATTCCTCAGCTACAGTAGTTGAGAGTAGGACCTTGTTGCTGCCTAACCTCTTTTTCTTCCCATGTATAGAGATTGGTCCTAACTAGTATTTTATTCATTCAAATGCAGCCATGACTCGATCATCCGACACTAAATGTAAAACCTTCTTTTATGTCGGATATCAAGGCTGTTGGATTGTCAAGACGGAGGTCGAGATACAAGGAGGGCTTGATGCTGGAAGGATCATTAGTTGTTAATATTTATTGTTCATAGTTGTTATAATAACTAGTAGGGCTGGTCCCAATAGCACTTTGTGGCCCAATTAATGATGAATATCAGAATATTCTGCGCGGTCGGGGGACACTTCCACCCCGGGGCAGCGCTCTGACGGGGTGGAAGTGTCCAGAACACACAGGCAGTACTTGGCTGCTGATGCTAGTTTAGTTAGCGCTCACACTTCTGTTTCCTCCATCG